TTGAGCGGCTGTCTTCTCCAAGGGCCCTGCCAGTGGCACCACCAGCCTGCGATCACGATTTGAAAATATGGCTAAGTCAGCAGAGGAGGAGAGCAGAAGGCAGGCAGAGGACCGGAAGAGACAGCAGGCTCGGGAGCGCCAGGCAGCTTGGCGGAAGGTGAGACATAGCCACCTTGCTGCATCCCTCTAGGCTTGCAGAACAGACTTTTCCTCAGGGGCATGCAGCTTCGTGTCCTCCTACCTGATCTCTTCAGAGTAACGTATTGCCTAAATTGCTTCCCTGCAACTACCAAGGACTGCCATTGAACGTCACAGCGGTCTGGATTTTCCTTTTCGGCACACATGGTAGGGTGTGCCTGCATGCAGTCATGACCCCTGTGCTTTGGCCTGCGCTCCTTCTTGCCCCTAGGGCCTGGCAAATGCAATCACACCTCCCCAATATTGCCATCCCAGCAGTCTGCATTTAGGGTTTTCGAGACTGAAGGTTGCACCCAAACCCTCATATTTACAACACCTCCTTCTGCATCGTCCTGTTTCTGCATTCAATATGCGGATAAGGTTTTGTCAGTTCCCTCCTTGAGGCTGCTTTCTGCAGACCCCATAGTTACCAGAGACGTGCTGGTGTCCAGTCCCTGGGGCAGGTTTATGAGAGCTGGAATGGATTTCAGCTGGAGGAAAACTTGAGAGCTGCTCTGTGAGCTGGAATAGATTTCCAGCTGGTGCTGGAGTGTGTCCGGAAAAGGGCAATGAAGCCGGTGAAGTGTCTGGAGAATGAGTCTTAGGGGGAGCGGCTGAGGGCCCTGGGGCTGTTCAGCTGGAGCAGAGGAGGCTGAGGGGAGACCCCATCACTCTCTGCAGCTCCCTGGCAGGAGGGTGCAGCCAGGAGGAATCGGTCTCTGCTTCCATGTAACAAGTGATAAGACAAGAGGAAACAGCTTCAAGTTGCACCAGGGGAGGTTTAGATTGGATATTAGGAATTTTTTTTTTTATGGAAGAATTGCTAATAATGCGTTGTTAAGCACTGAAACAGCCTTCGCAGGGAAGTGTTGGAGTCACCATCCCTTGAGGTATTTAAAAGATATGTAGAAGTGCTCAGGGACATGATTTAGTGGTGGATTTGGCATTGCTAGGTTAACAGTTGGACTTGATGATCTTAAAAGTCTTTTCCAACCTAAATGGTTCTATGATCCTATGAAATTTTCTGAGTTGCTCTCTTGGGAATGTGAACGGGCATTGGTCTGGGACTTTTTCAAAGAGATTGAGGGTGTCTGATGACTTTTTTTCCTAGCAGGAAATCCCACAGAGAGAGAAGGACCACTCAGAGGCAGCCCCTGCTACCATACCAGCAAGGGTACCTGGAAGTGCTGACCGAGACAGACCTGTGTCACAAGCAGAACAGGTGCCGAGGCGGGCTGGGAAGCGCTGGGAAGAGGGGCAGGCAGAGGGGACTGCCCCCAAGAGGGGGCTGTACTTTGCAGGCAGCCCTGCAGGAAGAAGTGGGGTGCAGCCAGCATGGGAGAGGCTTTGGTAGGAGTGTGGGGGGGAAATGTCGGGATGATGATGGGACATGGCTGCACAGCACCTTATGCCATGAGATGGGCTCTCAGAGTGGGTTGGTACAGTAGCAGTACAATGAGCAGTAGCTATGTACGTGAGAGAGGTTCAAATACCTGAGCCATGAGGGTCTTCACAGCAATCCCAGATGCCAGTTCTGCACAGACCTAGTGGCTGAGCTGTTTCCCCATTGCACAGAGGGTGATGCTTCATTTGTGTCATGGTAGCACTAAAAGCACCTGCAGTGGAGCAGTCTCCCTTGTGTTGGGTGCTGTGCAGTCATGGGAGAGCTGCCTGCAGTGGATGTTTTGTAGGTAACTTTCCTGTCACTTTCTTACTTCATGGCAGGAAGCAAAAAGGGAGGAGGAGGAAACACCACCCACTTTGCCACCAAGGCCAGCAGATCTGGGTGAGGAGTTGTGCAAGATCCCCAGCCAGGATCAGCTCATCTACAGTGAAAGTTTGGATGTCGGTGGGGATTATGAGGAGCTTCCAGAAGCCTCTGGCTACTGTGACAGTGCCAGTGGAGGCGCTGACTATGAGGAGCTGCCAGCACCCTTGGGAAAGCTGGATGCCATCTATGACAATGGAGGAGATGAAGGGGAGGACTATGAGGAGATCCTTTCCGAGGAGCCCAGCCAGAGCCAGGCCCACCTGGGTGAGTATTGATGGAAAAGTCCATGTCTTAGGGAGCTTGTGTTTATCCACTCGTCTCACTGAATGTATGGAACAGACTTCGGAGACAATTTGTATCGTGAAGTCTACTGTAGTCAGGGTAGCAGCCCATGATGATGGAGGCTTGGTTGTCTTCCACCCCCTTGCCCTGCTCCAAGGTTGAAGATCTACTGCATGTGTTGCTGGGTCAGGCAGCAAGTACATCTGCTGGAGCAGGATTCGGGCAGGAGGACCTGAGGGCTGCCATGGACTGCAGAAGCTGGACCTGGACTGATGGACTGATGTGCCTGATGTGCTGTTTCCTTGCAAGTGACTGCCTGTGCCGAAGTGAGGTTGGGGGGTGCTGTCTTAGTTCAGTCACAAACACTGGTAGTGATGAGACTTTATCTGATGTTGTCTCCTGGGTGTGAAGAGTGCAAGCTGGTCTTCCTCCTAGAACATAAGCAAACTGCATGGGCTGCTGGTGATGTTTGTCACAGCTTCACTGGTACTGAAGAGAGTAAGTGGACAGATTGGGGTTATGTCCAGCATTTTTATTGGGAGAGCACAGAAAGCATCAGTACTGTGCCTCTCTCTTTGCAGGAGGGGAGAGAAGTCACACCTTGCTTTGACACACAGTACACCTCTCCCAGCTGACTGGGTTGGGTTGTGCTTCACCCCAAGGTGGACAGCTGGATGGAAGGTGACACTGACCACATCTGTATGGCTGCTTTCAGCCTCTTTCTGATCTGCTTGTCCTGTCTTCTGCAGGAGAAACAGAAAATGTTTATGAGGTGGAGAGCCCTGGGATCTGTGCAGTGGCTCTCTACGATTACCAGGGAGGTAGGTTTGCCATCCAGGCTGTGGGGAGAGGCAGTGGGTGATGTGACGGCAGGGGGTGGTGGCTTATGCCATCAGCAGTGGTGATTTAAATTTCTTCTTCTTGCAAAGCAGAATGAGATCTGACTTGGGATCAGAAATTCCATCTTTTGTCTATGAAGTCTTGCTCCTTCTCTGCTTTATCTGTGCTGTTCGATGGGGGTTGGATTTGCTGAACTCTGAGGGTTATCAGAACGCTTGCTCTGTATTCTCCTTCTGGGTAAGGGGTGGGAGGAGGGATATAAAGCCATCTTTGAATTGTGACTATCTATCTTTCCTGAACAATTTTTGCAGATGGAGATGATGAGATATCTTTTGATCCCGACGACACAATCACACACATTGAGATGGTGGATGAAGGCTGGTGGCGAGGGCAGTGCCGGGGCAAAGTGGGCCTCTTTCCAGCAAACTATGTGAAGCTTCTACAGTGAAACCAGTATTGGCCAAGCTGATTCCTTCCAAACTCTTGCCTTTCTGTGCTTCAGCCTTTTATGTATTAATTAGATTAATTTGGCTAGACCTGACGTGACTATGTTCAAGAAATACCAAGGAGCAAACTGGCAGTATCTGAGGGAATGTTTTGACCTCTGCCCACGAGGAACTTGGTTCCCATCCACTTCCAGATGGAAAGGATGTGAGGGCTTAAGAGCATGTAAGTGCAATATAAGATGTCTTTTCTACCTAGGCTGTGCAACATGTCAACCAGCAAGCTTGCAGGAGAAGTGTGTCTATTCCTGTTCTCAACAAGGCATTTCATAGAAAAGAAAGACCAACTCTAGCAGAAAGGACATGAGCTATGGGACCTTGTTAAGTTGCTGTAGCTCTGGAACTCATCCTACCCAGGGTCAAGGAAAAGAGCACTGTGAATAGCAAACTTGCCTTTGTTCCCAAGAAAGGTTTGCACTTGCGGGATGAACCACGTTTGTGGCACGGGGCAAAGAAACACAAACCTGATCTCTGGGCAAATTCCAGAGCTGGGGCTTGGGAACATTTGAGCATCGCAGTGAATATTACTGACTTTTCCTGCACATTAACACAAGCTTGGCTGTGGTGAGCTGTTCCATTAAAGAAGAGAACTGTGTGCTGTCTCAGTGGAAATGTAGGATGATCTTGCTAAGGTAGGAGATTACTCGCTTGCTTTTCCTCTGTGTGCCAAGAATGCTGTTAGGAGATGTGTCATTTCTGGCATAAACCTTGGAAAGGGAAGTGTAAAAATGATGAGAAAAATTATTCCTGTAAATCTATCTTGGAGGAAAAGAAAAATACTAAAAGGCTTCAATTAATAAAGAGCATGTTACTAACTGTTTTGGTCATCATCCAGGCAGTCCATCAGAGGAATGTTTAGCTAGGGAAATCCTTTCAATCTAGCAAATGAATGAGAATAAGTTCTGCTTGATACAGGCAGTAGAATATTTTTGAGAGCACTCAATTTTTCCTGTTAACTGCTCTGACAGTATTAATAAGCATACACAGTGCCACAAGTTCTCTCTAGCCTAAGGGCTCCAGTGTGCTTTGCAGGCAGTGCTAAAGGGAGTTCCCACAGCCAGTATTTGGCTTGGTGTGTTCTCTCTGCTGTTGGGTGATTCCTTGTGCTGAATTCAGGCTGTGGCAGTAAAATAGTTAACACCTCACAGGCCTTTGCAGGAATCACTATTTAAGAAATATTTGCAGGTAATGGTCTCAGCAGTGTAATTAACAAGTGGATTATTTGTTAAAGGGTGTACTGGCTAGATCATCCTTGTCTGAAGAATGCTATTGTTATTTATGACGCCCTTCTTATCTGACACAGTATAGTGAAGAAGGAGATGCATAACTTTAAGGTGTATAAACTCGATAACTGCCCCATTTGAGGGGTCTGTCACTCTGCTGCACTGTGCACTCCCTCATAGCTGTAGTAATAAACTGCTGCTGTTCTGGCCTGACTAAAACTGCTTTATGGTTATTCTGTGACAGCATGTCTCCCATGTCTGTTGTAGGCTCCATTCCTTGTGCAATGGCCCCTGACTATAGCCCTTCTTCATCACCGATATGTGGAAAAGGCTGAGCAGGTGCGGGCTTAAGAGCGTGTAAGTGCAATATAAGGTCTTTTCTACCTAGGCTGTGCAACAAGTCAACAAACAAGCTTGCAGGAGAGGAGGGGGGCACAGGACAAGAGGATTTTTATTTTATTTTTAATGTTTAAAGCAGTTTTCAGTAATAATCCGGTGCAAACTGAAGCCCTCCCTTAAACCAATACATTCCAGGCTAGATGCTCAACATGCCACTGTAGGAGTGTGTTGTTGTTTCTTTGTAGTATGCAAAGGCCATCACAACATGAATAAAGCGGGGACAGGCTGAGCAGCATAGCGTGTGAGAAGTACACCCAGTGAAGTGCAGCTGCCAGGAGCATGGGTGCAGAGGGGCACCCTGTGACACCTTTAGAGTTCACTGTGGCTCACAGGTTGGTTCTAGACCATTCTGCACTTGATCAAGACTGTACTACCTGAAGGTAGTACAGCATCCCTGCTCAGTGTTTGATGCAGAGAAAAATCACAAGCTATGTCTGTTAGTCCTGCAAAAGGCACACTGTGAAATCAACAGTTTTAATATAAATTTTCTGTAGGTTTTTGGTTAGTTGGTTCGTTGGTCTGATTTTTTTTTTCTCTGAAATAACTTTCCCAGTATTTTTTTCCTCGTGCAGTTCACCCTTTATTTCCTGATGTTCTTTTCCAGAGGGCTCTCCTGAGCGAGCCTCATTGTGATACAGTGTGTCCTAGTGAGACTCAAAACTAGGGATGTTTCAATAATTTTTTACAATCAAAAAGGTTATATAGGAAATAGAGCCAGATGAGTGAATGAATTGCAGTAAGAGCAAGAGGCCATCCCAACACATGGATTATAGAAACCTTTTCTTTTTTTCCCTGAAAAGTAAACTGATTTTCAGTGTGTATTGTGCACTAAGAGTTGGCAAACTGCTCCCAACAAGCTGTATGACTACTGGGCTTAGTTTTTGATTTTCCAGTAAGTTTCTTTGGGAACAGGCTGGATTTTGCTGGGCATCTCTTGGTAAATGAGCTATGGATGAGCATGTTTTGGACCCTTCCAGCCAAGAAGTCCCTCTGCAGCACAGCTGCAGGAACACTGCCGGGTCTGCAGGCGTGCACATGCTTGCCCAGCCTGTGACGTCTTCCCTCCCCATGCAGACCCTTGCGCTGGTGGCTGGCTGCGCCTGGCTTCTGCCGTGGTGTTGGACATTGCTGGCCCTCATGTGCCTGCCTGCAGATTTGGCTAGCGCTAGGATTGCCCCAACACCCATGGAATCATTTGAGCTTGGACCCGTTTGCAGAGCCCCTGCAAGAAGAGGTTAAGCGACAGGACGAGGGGCAATGGTTTTAAACTAGAGCAAGGTAGATTTGGATTAGGTCAGGAAGACGTTCTTTACTATGAGGGTGGTGAGACCCTGGCACAGGTTGCCCAGAGAGATGGTGGAAGCTCCATCCCTGAAGCATGCAAGGTCAGGCTTGATGAAGCTCTGAGCAACCTGATCTGGTTCAAGGTGTCCCTGCTCACTGCAGGGGTTGGACTAGATGACCTTTAAAGGTCCCTTCCAGCCCAACTCATTCTATGATTTTATGAAGCTGAGACAGGGGGAGCTGGACAAAGCTGGCTGCTCTATATGACCAGTGAGCCCTCAGTCACTGTCATCCACAGACACAACACTCACAACTATGTGTTAGTCTTTTTGTGGCTGTAGCACAAACCAAGCATTTCCAGAGAGGATTTAAGCAATGCCAGCTGACAGCTCAGTGCTGGTAACTTGCTGTTTGACCAACACTCTGAGAACAGTGAGTGGCCTGATTAATCTGTTGGCTGCTGTTCTAACGTACAAAATGCTACAAGGCTTTCATGGCAGCCTGGAGAAACACAGCAGACGTCACTGTTGTGTATTGGTGTCACAGCCCCTTTGCAGAGACCAGATTCTGCAATCAGGACCCTGCCCCTTGTCCCATGCAGCGCCTGGCTGGGCAGTGCCACGGCAGAGCTCATGGCCTTGCTCTGGGTCAGGATGTGTCTGGTACCTCACAAAACTGCCTTTTACAGCATTCCCTGGTAGAAGCGTGGCTGCAACAGGTCCTGTGCTGAGCTCAGCACGTGGCACTTCCAAAGTAACAACATAGTCCTGGAACGGTAGCCTTGTTCCCAACTTGATTTTGCCATTCTGCCATCAATGACATGCAGAGGATCAGACAAGCGATGGTGGTGTGCCACAAACAGCCACTGCCTGGGCAAAGAGCCCTGACCTGCTTCTACCATCAAAGATTTCCCACCTGAGAAATGCTGCACGAGTCGCACAACAGCACCGTGTTGCAGCCCTGGCATTGCTCATGCGTTGCTGCCTGGGGAGAGCAACATGGCCCATCTCTGCACAACCTTCTGCAGGGCCCTTCGCACCTCCTGGTTGCGGAGACTGTAGATGAGGGGGTTCAGCATGGGGGTGACAATGCAGTACATTGCAGAGACCACTGTGCCTGCTACTGGGGAATAGCCAGAGCTGGGCCGGTTGTAGTTCAGGTTGGCTGTCACAAAGTACAGGGCAACCACAAGCAGGTGGGCAGAGCATGTGGAGAAAGCCTTGCGCCGGCTGGTGGCCACGGGCATCCTGAGGATGCTGACCAGGATGCGGAGGTAGGAGACGACAACAAGCAGGAAGGGACTGAGGCCCACAAAAACACTGGCAGCATGGAGTGCCACTTCACTGGGGAGAGTGTTGCTGCATGTGATCCTCAGCAGCGGGGGAACGTCACAGAAGATGTGCTGGAGCCGAGCAGCCCCACAGAAGGAGAGCTGGGAGGCCAGGACAGTGTGCACAGCAGAGTCCAGCATGCCCCAGAGCCAGCAGCCAGAGGCTGCCACCACACAGACACCCCAGCTCATGGCATGGGCATAGCGCAGGGGTTGGCATATCGCTGCATAGCGATCGTAGGCCATGACAGCCAGGAGCGCACACTCGGCCCCCGCGCACGCCATCAGGAAGAACATCTGTGCCAGGCATCCACGGTAGGAAATGGTCGCCCGTGGGCGCAGGGCATTTGCCAGGATCTTGGGCACCGTGACTGATGAGTAGCAAATGTCCAAGCAGGACAGGTGACTAAGGAGGAAGTACATGGGACTGTGGAGATGGGGATCCAGGAACACAAGGGCAAGTATTGCCAAGTTCCCCAGCAGCGTGGCCAGGTAAAGGGACAGGAAAAGAACAAAGAGGTAGGGCTGGCCATGGGAAAAGTCCAGGAGCTCGAACTCTGTCACATGAGTCTGGTTCTCACCTGCCATGGGGCCAGCTGGGTTGATCTGTGGGCAGAAACAAGCACTGTGAGCAGGAGGTGGTGATTGTGAGTCAGGGGACTAGAGCACAACTACCACAAGGCAAGGGTTTTGCTAGTAGGATGGTTTTGGTCCTATCTCCATAGTAGTTGAAAGCTTCTGATATTGAAATTTCACTGACACTAGGATTTTTGAGTCCAGAGAGCTGCCATTCAGTGTTGATATCCGACTGCAAGAGAACCATAAAGAAGAAACTAAGAGTGGTGTGCATCTGGACAAACCCATGTCTCCTGGGTTCTCCTGCCAGCCCCACCCCCTGTCTTGATGAGTATACCAAGCATTTCTCTCTTTTCCTCCTGGCTGCACTTAGGGCGGCTACATATTTCCCTGACTCTTGGACATGGTCTCATCATTCCTTAGACACCACAGTCACTGAGCTTGCTCTTCCCCAGCCAGTGGGTTGGGGATATGTGATCACCCTGCACCAATAAAAAGATGTTTTTTTCTTTATCCTGTCTCATGCACTGCTGGTTTTGGGGTGCTTTGCTCTGTGATAACCAGCACTTTAAAAAGTATAGGTTTGAACTGAAGGTGAGTTACCACAAGATGAATTTAGCACAGGCAAATTTAAGCCATCAGGGATCTCCACTGGCCTCAGCCTCCTGACCTTTCTCATAGAATCATAGAATGCTTAAGGTTGGAAGGGACCTTGAAGATCATCTAGTTCCAACCCCCTTGCATCATCTTATTTCAGTTTTCACCCAAACACAAGGGTTTTGCTTACCAGCATGTGAAGCTACATTCACCACGTTCAGATGGTGGACAGGGCATGGGGAGGCAGTTACTGCTCGTAAACCTCAGCCAAGGGCTGTTGCAGACGGTGCTTGCGGCCAGGACTGCTGCCGCCCGCCAGCGCCATGAAGCCCAGCAGACGCAAGCCAGGTGCTTTAGTGGGCAAATACTGCCTGGCGCAGCAGCCTTGGTGAGGCTGCTGAAGAAATGGGGCTGAAAGAGAGGTTAAAAACCACCTGCAATCACCTTGCCTTGGGGCACAGCTCTGTCACAGCTAGCGCTCAGCACGGCACATGCTGCACTCAGCCAGTCTGCAAACAAGGGTTGCTCTTGACTAGGTGAGGGAGAGGATCCAGGGAGGTTTAAGCTCACATGTCAATAAGGGGCAAACAGGGATGGAAAACACCAGGGCAGACTGTGGCTGCATGACAATACAGGGCACCTCGGGGGACCATACGTCATCTTGGTGCTGTACATAATAAAATTGTGCTCTCCCTATGCAACTTTTTCTTTGGCTCCATTTGATTGGGTCAGTAGATATTAGCACTAAACTATTCCTGAAACCGGCCGTTGCTGAGTAAGTGTTTGCCAGGAGCTGTGTTGGGACCAGTACTGGTTCTGCGTGAGTTCTCACTGACAGCAGTGGCAGATGACTGGGGTGCAAGGAAGAATTGCACATCACTGAACTCAAGGATTTAGTTCCCTGCTATTCTCACTCGGAAATTGTACACTTGGAAGCAGGGGCTGTTTGCCTTGGCGCAGGATAGCTGTGAGCAGCTTTTTGTTACAGGTAACTGTGATGAACCTCCCGTGGTCCAGGATTCAACAGCATTCCCAGAAAAACTATCAGTTCATGCCACTCTCCATTACAGATGTCACCTGACAGCTATGCAGGGGCCTGTTGCCATTATATAAGACCAAAGCGAAAATGACCAAAAGAAACCAAATAAAGATAAAAGGAACAGGAAAAAAAGAAAGCAGAAAGCATTCCCTTCCTCTTTATAGATGTGTTTTTAGCAACTAAAGTAAATTGTCATGTCTCTTCGTGAGATTAAACAGCATGGTTAAATTTCAGGTTGGTATCCTTGCTTTACACCCATTAATTTGGTTTTGATTTCTTTGTCCAAAGCATGTATCTACATCTCAGTCATGATTTTAAAACACTGTGCAATGGAGAATTCACTGCTTCTGTTGGGAGGGGTTTTTTTCTTATAGCTACTTACTGCAAAAAGCTGTCACAGCATTGTTAAAAATTGTGTATTTTTTTTTTCCTGCTTTATTTTCCATGACATTATTTGAATGTTGACTCCGCCGCATTCATAATTTTCATGTCTTTCTCTTCTAGATTAAGGACTCTCTGTTGTAATCATATTTTTCTCCCTGCTTCCACTGACTCACTGCAATTAGTATCATTGTTTGCTAAGTAGAAGAGCTAAGTACTAATTAATTTCTCTTTTACTCTTCAGTTTTTCTTTTTTTCTTCTTTTAATTTTGAGAGGAAATCTTTCAGTCAAAAGAATTCTTCTTTACTTATCATAATGTCATCCAAACTTGTTATTCCATCTTGGATGTGGGTGCTACAAGGCTGAGAAAGCACTGCCTGGCTGAGCTCTCCAGCAGTCTGCCAGAGCAACATAGTCTTTAATATCTGGGGGGGTTGTAACTAATTTTGCATAGATTGGACAGGTACATAAGGAATATATCATCCAATATTCTGGAAATCTCAGACCATCGCTCTTTCTCCAGCCAGTCCCCAGCCAAAGCCATGCGCATTCTGATGCAAGAACAGCCCGACTGTTCTGGCCCAGCACCGAGAGCCTGAGAGGTGCATGAGAGGTGTGAGAGCTCGGAGAGACTGCAGGAGGGTTCCCTACGAATCATTTCCTGCCTCCAGTTGTTCCTGGCTGCAAAGTTGCACAATATGCACATTGAGCTGTATAAATTCAAAATTACATGTGTGTGAAATTTCACAGTGCTAAGGCAGGCAATGGTTTGCTTAGGGCACAAGTGCCTCCATGCTATAGGTATGAGAAGGCCCTGTCCAGGATGTGGTTGGATGCTTTTCCTACTGAGGCAGGAGTCTGCTGACAGGCTATGGTGAAGCCAGCACCAGTGAAGGTGGGAACCTACCTGTTACAGAGGAGGAATAGGGGGCCTCAGGAACCAGTGATACAAATAAGAATAAATTTAATAGCAGAGGCTTACATATATAAGGGTTAATCACCTGTTTATGCTCTGAACTGGGGCTCAAGACTTGCAAATAACAGCAGGTGAAAGAGGTTTGTGAGCCCATTGCATGCTGCCAAGAAGCCCTTGGTTTAATGTAGGTACACATCAATGACATGTAGGTCACCGTACTTGCAGGAGCAGCAGGGCATTGTTAGTTCACTGCAGGAAGGCTGCAGATAATGCTCTCCCCATGATGATAAATTCAGGCTGTGTTAGACATGGACCTACAGAGCTACAGTACAGCCACAGGAGTTGAGCAGGGGCATGACCCTAATTTTTCACTGTGGCCTGGAGCAATGTAGCAGTCAGTTGACACAGCCACATGACAAGAAACATCAGGTGCAAACCCTTTGACATGAGACATCCTGTACACAATGAAATAGGTGGATGTGGTAGGAAAATCTCCCTTTTTCCCTTCGACTGCACAGGAATGATCCCTGCAAGAGTCCCCACCTTGCTTCAGCTCCTTTCCTCT